TACAATGAAAGCATACATTTCAGAATATTTTTAGTAGCTTATCCATTCAGTAGTATACATTCTATCCTCTTTGTATTTGAATTCTATTTTTTTTTACTTCTTTATCATCTTCTTTTATAAATCCAATAGCATTGTTCGATTAATGAAATTTTTTGGTATACATTGACATGATAAATGTATACATTAAACATGTTAATATTATTTCCTATTTACTGTACTTGACGTTTTGTATAACATTTATTTAAAATCTGAATAATTAAATTATACGTTTTATATTGGCGTTGTTAAAATCAACTGATAATTGATTAAGTTATCACTGTGATCTTTATTGTGTATCAATGATACAATTTTTTATACTTACTTGTATTTCCTAAACGGAACTCATTAAGATTTAATTTTGATAAAAGATATTTTCGGTCAATATTTTTTTTATATAATCATACTGTACTTTTGTATATTTCAAATGTTCTCATTTTCCCATGATTTTTTGTTAATGCTTATATTTATATAAATATGTATATGTGCTTATACTCATAGAGTTGATGGGTAACTTTGAATGTGGTTCAGAATGTGATCCAACTGTTTCTTCTGTCAATTTACGCAATGCTAACATTTTTCATGTTAGCACCACAACATCTCCTTATTCATCATCTACTATGCCAGTACACACAACAGCTTCTTCAACACCTACTTCCATATCGATGGAAGCACACATGTCTACTAATTTGTTTCATCGAAGAGATAAATATAATTATGGCAGTTTATTCAATTCCAGCCATACTGAACAACAACAACAACAACATCATAATGTTAATAGTAATAATAATTCACAAATGGAAAATATTCATATTGAATCAGGTAAACTAAGTTGATTCATCACTCTTCTCTACTTCCTCCTAATAACTCTTTTTTCATCATTAAACATTCTTATATTTTTGTTGTTGTTGCTGCTCTTTACAGTGGACTTTTTTTGTCATCAATTGTTTATTTCCTATCTATTTTTCTTTTTCATCTCTGTGCTTGAACTCTGTGTGTGTGTGTTACTGCATATCTTAATGCTATAGGTGTTGTGGTTTCAGTTAATTATTTCGTATCTATGTGTGCTTATGGTGTTGTCAGTTTGCTTATTCTCATTGTACATTTTCTTTTTAAAATCATCCTACAAAATAGAGCAGTCGATTGAACTGATGATTCATATCTATTTATTATTTTTTTCATTGTTCTTTTACAGTGTCATACGATAATCCTGTTGTATACAATCGAACAAAAATGTCATTAGGAAACTATAAAAAAAGAATAAAATCAATTAAAGATAAGAAAATATCTTCACTTAATTCGAATTCGACTGTAGTACAAACTTTACCCGATAGTTTAAATATACATAGACCATCACATACTGGTATACATCATCAAATATTAAGTTTACCACAAGATTATCATAGTATTTCATTAACTAATTCAATGGAATCAAATCTTCATCAACACAATACTACTACAATTCAACAAACACCTCATGTTGAAATACAAAATTCACATGGTTGGTTTAGTTCTACAGATGAAGAGGAGGAGGAGGAGGAGGAGGAGAATGAAACAAATAATCACAATGTTGTCGGCGCTGTTAATGTCAGTAGTTGTAGTAGTATGAATAATAAAATCATATCAAAACAAGCAAAGAAATATCTCGCCAGTGTAAATCATCCTAACACTATTGCTACTATATCAAATAAAATACAATTACCAACACATTCAACATATTCTACAATGATTGGTCAAGAGTTTCTCAATACATCTAGACAATCGACTCTTGTACGTTCTAATAATAATACTGTCGATAATGAGGATAATAATGTCGAAAACAATCAAAATGATAAGCTGAATGATGCAAACAGTATTAGTCTAACTGATGATCGAACAGATGTGATTTCCGAATTTATTCCAATGCATAAAATGAATGTAAGTTCTTGTTAGATGCTTTCAGTTTTCTCTTTTTTTTGAGAGTTTATTTTTTAAGTAGGCATAATCATATCGAATGAAGAGAGATTTTCGGTAAAAAAGAAATTGCCATATGTTCTGCGTGTGTTAAGGCCAATGGATATAATACTCAGCTACCCAGAAAAAAAAAAGAGAATTCCAGTCAGGAATTTATTCATTGAAAGTTATATGCTTTAATCATAGTTTGCAAATCTTTTCCACAAATAAATCAATTTAATCACATTATGGAAATAAATTTAGTGTGGAGCAAACAACTTTATGCAAAAAAAGTTTAGATGATCACAAATTTGCATAAAAGCACACTCTTTAAAAAGAAATGTTATGCACAGTACCTGCTTTGCTGTAGTTTAAAATTCTAAATTTGTTCTCATCCATGACCCCATATTAGCATGAAATCTCTAGAATTTTCAACTTTCCATGACCAACAAACTACAGTTATTATCCTTGAATTAATATTGATTCGTTCATAATTTTTGCTACAGAGTTAATCTTTAAGTTAAAGTGATCACTTCTTAATATTATTGTTGAGTTACTTTCTAACCTCTCATTTGATTTAAATCCACAGATCGTATCTCATTAAACTTTGTTTAAGTCTACTGCTAAACTTTATCACACAGCTGTGACAATAACGCATGCCTTAATTTTACAATCTTCCACAAAATGTCTGAGAAAGTAATTAGTGAATAATTAATAATTTTCTAGTTAGCTAGTTATACTATAGAAAACTTCTTTGCAGTTTGTAAATCTATTGCAAAATATTTTTCTATGATCTTTGGTTTTGGAAAGTCAATTTTTTTTTTATAGTCACTGGTTTTTATTACATTCATTAAAACTAAGGAAAGAGGGTCAGTGATTACAAAGATACGAAAGTGATATGTTGTAAAGATAAGTTTAGTTCAACCATAGGTGATTTGTCATTATTATGTTATGGTATTTATCATTGTTTTGATCAGCGGTTTTCATTTTCAATAATAATAAATATAGTAATGTTGAACAATATGTTCTTTATGAAAATTGAACAAGAATAAAAATTCATGAACAAAATATGTCGCGAATGTATTATTGGTAGTAATCAGTCATTAAACATATAACAAATTACTGCTATAAGTGCCTAACTCACTTTTCATTACATTATCATCGATCTGAACTGAACCATGTCAACAGGTGTGTAAACTGCCTGGTTGGGATCCGCGAGGCGATTGTAACTAATGGCATAGCCCGAAATCGTTTGCGATAGTGCAGGTACATCCATTCTTTGTCTTCCCTTAAATTCTAAAACTCTGAATTCCTCATGATCTTTGTGTTGTTTTTGAATTTACCTCACTGGTTTATACTTCTGGAATCAAATCTTCAAAATCTGATCTTCTTCATTAGCGCTTATACTGCTGCAACCCGCTACTACTATGAGATTTGAATTGAAAATTTGATTTCTCTGTGCTATTGTGATATGGTCTCTTGAACTGATGTACGCACGTACGTATGAAGTTCTACATTGAAGCTGAATCACTATTATCATCGATAGGTAGTAGGAAAGGATTTTTTTCCACAATGTTTTTCTTCCTTAATTGTTAACAAGTATAATTAATGAAAAAATAATCTCTAACATTGCAATAATATTAATAATAATTTTGTTATCCTTTACATCATATTCTTCTATCGATACATTGATAAGTGATCATATCATTTCAATCGATTACGGCATATACATCTGTGATTGTAATTCTGTTTCAATCTATCTATCAATTCATATTTATTTTTTTTTAATCTTATTTTTTTTTATCATTAAGGTGTTATTATATGTATCAGATTTGTCTAGAAAACGTTATGGAACATTGAATAGGAAGTATTTACTTTATTTCTGGTAAGTAAATTTGTTATAATTTTCTCTTATTATTACAACCCAGCTATTCCTAATGCTTAGTATTCTTGGACACCAATTTACTCGAGACGTTCTCTCAAAATCAGAACACGGTTGAACAGGAAATAGAGATTATATTCCAATAACAAGGTTAGATAGAAGTCAAAAGATCAAAAGGAAAAGACGTTAGTATATTGATTGTTTTTTACATTAGAGGATTCCAGAATGTTCCCACAGTATCGACTAGCGCTGATTGGATACGAAAGAGCCAATCAGCGTAAAGCAACGCATTCGTGCTTTAATCCAATCTACGTCCTGCTAACAATATTCAATTACCATTTTGTATTATTTAAATGGTTATAATCAAAGAAAGTTTATGTTATCGAAGTAGTAGCAATGTTACTAATAGTGTGGTGCGAGCTACTTATAAGTAGTATGCGACGTGAGCGTCAACGTAATGTCTGGCAGCCGAAGATGGGGGAAGATCAAGAAAGGAAGAGTTAGATTAGAACACAATGGAATTTGTATGAAACGCATGAATAGTGACAATGGATCGATGTTTTGCAACAGGAACAGTCCAGTTCGATATGATGGACTGATATTTTGCAAATTAACGATTTACGATATGGTTTCCCGATTTTGCTGAGTAACTCTGTAATTTTCGTTAAATACAATTCGGTTGCCCCACCTGTGTTCTCCTTCACTACATTAGTTATTATTATAACTCTATTACGAATTGCCTTTTTTTCAATATTAAGTGTGTCTATTCACACTATGGGATTTTCAGCATAAAATACTCCAACTGTTTTGTTTCATTATCAATATTCAATCATGACGATGCTGTCAGTTAGTTTCGCTTCGAAATAAATTGATCATGATGCAGGATGTGGTTCTTCATGGTCTGTATTAAAGTTAGCTGGTAGAAAAATAATTATGGTCAATACAACTTGAGCTACGTAGGTTCAAGTCATGATAATGATGAATTAAAACACACTCATTTGAGAAAATCTTGTTGTTTTATTACTTTTGAAGCTTGTTATTAATTTTTAATGATAAATACTGTTGTACGGATAGTTTTAGACTTTGACATTTAACAGTAGATACGCGGTAAATTTGTTAATAACGTTTTAAAAAATATCTACGCTTGATTTCACCCTTACTGCTATCTATATGTGTTGGTCAGCCTCTGTATTAAATACTTTAGTTCAACATCACGTTTACCTTTTGTTTTTTTCTAACGATAAAAAATAAGTCAACTCTTCTAATTTTTGTTTTTTTTTCGATCGGTTTTTTTTCTTATCTAATGGAATTTACAGGTATTTAATTATCATATCCATTTTCTATGGTTTACCAGCAGTACAATTAATTATGACATATCAAAAGGTAAGATTGGTTAAGATTGCACTGTTTTTTCTCGATACATATTCATTTTATTTTATCGATTTATTCACACAAGCATGAAATTAATCTTTGAAAAAAAATCGTACGATTTTTCATAAGTGGTTCATAGATTTGCAAGGTACGTTGATAAACTAACTCACTGATATACACACCTGGTCAGGACTAATTTAGAAAGATTAAAAAAAATTGTATTATCTTATTACCCAAATAAGTAAACGACAAATTTATCGAATAAATATTTGTATTATTAATGAATGAATAGAATGTTTCATAGTTAAGATCTGTGTTCATTGAACATGAGAGTAAAAGTGAAATGAATCTATTTAATCACCTTATTTGAAACTTATTTTTATGAATCTACTATTATTAATATTATGATTATTATTTGTTTAGACACCTAAGGATTGGTACAAAAAAGGGGCATCTAAATATTTGTGCACCACACAAATCATTGTATTTGTGTGTGTTCTGAAATACTCCATGGACGTCCAAACTAAAGCAGGCAGTTTTCTTAGAGGGCCACTCGTTAAGCAATTAACTCAGAGGTTTGATCTACAAGGCAGTGCCGCAACGTTAAGAGGTACAATGCCGTGGTAGCTAACAGTAAGTTGAAACGCCATCTGTTCCATCAGGGCCCTGGAACCCTATGTTCACCATTGGTTTTGGATCCGGGTTTTCTAACTCATCTAGGTGGATCCACTAAAGTACGCACCAACCTGGTTTAAGTTTCGGACATTGGTTTCTTGTTCGTTCACTTTTAGTAAACAAATGGTGAGAGGGCAGTTGCCGTTGCTCATAATATTCGATAATCAAATTGTGTAACTTTTTTTTTTCTTCAATAATAATATTATGTATAGGCTGTTTTTGAAACTGGCAATGAAGATTTATGCTATTACAATTTTGAATGTGCTCATTCATTTGGCATTTTTACGGCTTTTAACAATATTATTTCAAATATTGGCTATGTTATGCTAGGATTATTATTTCTTGGTCTAACTGCTCGACGGTAAGTTGATAAAGCCTCAAATTTCAAGCAGTTTCACTTTATTGATTGATATAACTTCATGGAAATTTTCATTGTGAATTGAAATCGGTTATAGCACCACTGCACTGAAAAATAAAAATCTTTGGACAGTAGCTTCATTCTTATTTAGGACCGTTTCTATTCGGTATTGAACTTTCAAGTCTAGAGGTGAACACAGCACCACTCAGTCACTAAGTCTGCTGCGGTAGTTTACTTTTTTTTTCATTTCAGCCGATTTGTTATGTGTAGAGTGATCTTCATTTTGAAATCATTTGACTTCATAGGTAATGAATTTCGCCTTAATCTTTGAGAGATCATGTTTTAAAGTTTACGATTTCCTATCGATGAAGTACCACAGCCACAGCATTAATCCCTATATGTAGTTATACATTTTCAGCTTATATTTGTCTTCCCGGTTTAAAGGTATAAATATATATATATGTATATATATGATGTGTGGGTACACTTGTGCTGTGATTAAATCTAGCCTTATTTATTTGTCAAATGACAGTCTATTAGTTTTCTATTATGCACTAACGATAAAATTTGTCTGCTAAAGGATCCAAAATGTTCACTATGAATTCTATTCTCATACTAACGATTAAACAAAATCCATCATCACTTCAACCAGCTTTCATTTCTCATATCTGTCGTCAACTAACATCAATTAAGTAAGTAATACAGATATCGGTTTAACTGTTAACTTAAAAAGTTTAAATTGAACATGTTATTTCGATACATAGAAAGTGGTCTTACTTATTTATTTAAATAATTATTTCACCTACAGACAATATCAATCTTTCAACACTTATATATATATAAACACTTATATATATATAAACTTTTGCAAGGAAGAAAGCCAATATGATCCTCCGGTCTAATCAAAATTTTTTTTTCTAAAATAATCTAATTGTTTATAAAGTATTCAATCATTAAAACTGATGCCTTAAAGCCTATTGGCAAACCGTGTGATGATGACATAGGCTGTCAAAAAGGTTCGTGCAATTTTACTTGTCATAGACGGTAGATTGTCTATGCGCGCTCTGTCTCTCTCTCTCCCTCTCTTTCTCTTATGATGATCTTTAAAATTCCATCTGAAGTTAAAAGTTTTTTGATCATATGAATTATTTTCGTTGACTATTATTATTATCATTATTATTCTGAATTCATTTTATAATTTTAACGTTAAGTGTAACATTTAAATACTTGTTATGTTGACAATAAAACCCCCCTCTGAAAACTTACTTTTATTTATTCCTTCGTATAGCGATATTCTTCATAGACGGACAAAAAATGTAAACCCAAACTCTCAGGTAATCAAATTACTTAGGTGAAAATTATTTCTTGAATAATTTTTTGCTCGTTCATTAATTTTGTATGTATTAATATATATTCTTTATGAGTAATATGTATATACACATATACACTACGTACACGTACCTGTCAACGAAGAAATTGTTTGTCAACAACAAATTGATTTAAGCTGACTAGCGTTAATGCATAATTACGAAAGTATCGTCAAATTTTTTCATCAACTGAATCAATCATCTATTCAAACTCATATTGAATAAAATATGCCGCCTGCCCAAGATTATGGATTAATACATAGACATATTTGATTAACCATCATTATTAGCTTAAATTATCGCGTTTGTTGATTGCTTATGGATTAGTAATAATAAACGAATGTGTTCCTTAATAAGTTCACCATAAAAAATTTTCCCTGATATTTTCATTATGTTTACAGATAAGCGATTGATATCCTTGCTTACAATGTGTTTCCCTATTAAAAAAATATACACCACTCAGTTATAATCTATGTTGAACCTGACAAAGGTGTGAATGTGCCTGAGTTCTCAAATTAGATTAGCACGGCACGATGAAATTGACCAATGTAGGTCAAACCAATAGGTGATATCAAAGAAAATACTTCTAAGTTAAGTCAGTCAGTTACAACGTAGAACTGTGTACATACACTAGTTCAAGTTAACAAACCACATTAACACAGAGATGCAACTATCAGTTCAAATCCTATAGTGACACAGATAGTAGAAGTATTAGCAGTAATGAAGAAGATTAAGGAGCGACGATATGGTTCGAGAAGTATAATTCAATGAGGTAAATTTAGAAAGAGGAATATAGAGGTGATGAGGAATTCTGAAGATTAGAATTTGAGAGAACACAAATAGTGGATGTACCTGTGCCATTGCAAACGATTTTGAGCCATGTCGTTCAAGGTCTCTAACCATCGGTTACTTTCGTCTCGCGGAACCTAACCAGGTAGTTTGCATCTACTAACATCACTCAGTCCATTTGTCAGTGGTTTCATGGCTTTTTGCCATATTTTGGTCTGGCTGTCCCTAGCTCTCTTCCAACCTACGCCTACACCACAAAACACCGCTCGTCGAGGCAGTTGATGGTTAGGCATTCGTAACACATGTGATACATGCTTACCTTAGTTATTAGTTAGACATCTTGACAATGCCACAAGTGATACGAACTCACAAAAGCCAACAGAGCTTTTTGGGTCGGTGTCAAGGTCTCGTTAGACATTATCTCATTGAGGGTGATAAGCCTTCGAAGATAAGCGGATCGTTGGACACACTCAACTGTCTCATTCACTATTATTAATTTTGGCGCTGGCACAAACTAGTTCCGAAACAACATTTCGCACGTAAAGTAAGGGAAACTCGTCCCAAACATGTTTTTATTGTCACTCAAAGCTTTCTGCAGATCATACTTTTTTAGCATCTTCATCAATTAGCACTATATATCATCTGAGTACTCCAGGTTGATAAATAAGTTTTCAGAAAGGAGATCAATCTCCGGAAAAATATATTTCAAACATAATATCTCTGTATACTAACACAAGTGGTCAGATGAGAGCAATCCAATTGGATAGATCTCACTCGAAAGTTGATATCACATTGTTTATTTTCACTCCATAGGTTCATTGATTTGTTTCAAACCTTAAATAATTTAAATTCGATTCAAATGCAGACAATTTAATGGTGTTTTAGACATATCATAATAATTTTAAAACAGTAATGTATCAATCACAAAGTATTTCAATAAATTTTAATTCTTGTCATACATAACACTATGATACACACTTTTTTTTCTTTCTTGATTTTATTATTTCTAATAGTTTATTATTATTATTTTTGATTATTTTACTTGTAAAAAAAAAAACTTCTCTAGATATTAGGTATACCTCAACATTATGGTTTATTTTATGCTATGGGTTTAGCATTAACTATGGAAGGATTAATGAGTGCATGTTATCATATGTGCCCGAATTTTTCTAATTTCCAATTTGGTAAGTCAACTAAAATATAATTAAATTGTTATTTTCATTTTAGGAAATAAACTTCTTTTTTGCAGTTATACATCATCTTAAAAATATCTTTTTTTTATATTAAGCCTTTACTTACATACTTTTTCTATGGTCTACTAATATTGTGGTGCGAGCTACTTTTAAGTAGTATATGACGTGAGTGTCAACGTAATGTCTGGCAGCAGAAGATGGGGGAAGATCAGGAAAGGAAGAGTTAGAAGAACACAATGGAATTTGTATGAAACGCATGAATAGTGATAATGGATTGATGTTTTGCAACAGAAACAGTTCAGTTCGATATGATGGACTGGTATTTTGCAAATTAACCGTTTACCATACGGTTTTCCGATTTTACTGAGTAACTCTGTAATTTTCGTTAAATACAATTTGGTTGCCCCACCTGTGTTCTCGTTCACTACAATATGTGTGTACGCTTACAGCCATTAATAAATAAGTTCAATCTACAACAGTCGACCTTATGATGCCCATACAGCTGACAACAACTAACAACAACAGTTTCCTTTTCTGTTCGTTTTCTTCAACTTTACTGAAAAGAACAAATAACCATTAACTTATAAAAATTTCATTTGAACTATTAAAAGTTGTCGTATACAAAATATAGTAGTAATACAATACAACTAATATTTTTTGATGAATTTTTTTTCGACCGAAATTCTTTTCATAGTTCAAAAAGCTCATTATTGAAGTATCGATAATTCTTCTTAAAATGCCCAACTATACCTCATATATTTCTAACCACCAAGTCTAAATGTCTACTGCCATTTCTACCTAATAAACATAAAGCATTTATTTTTTAAAATCTTCTGCCAACAGAATGGTGTTTAGTTTCAGTGACATGATATACTTGTTGTCTTAATTAATACCTTTCAAATATTATCTTGTTATCTTGTTTGTTTTTTTTTCAACAGAGTTATTTTTATTTAATCTTATCATTTTTATTTTCAGATACTGCTTACATGTATATACTTGCTATGTTAATAATGTTAAAAATTTATCAAACACGACATCCAGATGTGAATGCATCAGCTCATTCAGCATATATGGTTATGGCTGTAGTAATTTTTCTAGGTGTTCTTGGTGTTGTAAGTTTCACTTGATTGTTATCATAGTAATGTCTGTTTTTTTTAAATATAATTAAATGGTTCATGAATTTTT